GCGGTAGTTCTCAGGTTTGTGTTTCGTGCCTGTTTTGAAGACAGGACTTACTATGGCATTTTTCCAGTCTTTTGGCAAACGACCCTGCGTAACGCATAGGTCAAAGCATGTACTTAAAGGCTTGCAACGAAGTTAGATAATTCCTTCAGAAGCCTAGGATGTAATTTATCGGGCCCCGTGAATTTACCTATGTCAAGCTTATTTAGCAAACCAAAGACATCGAGTTCTTTAATGGTCACGCTATCCAGTGTATGTATGGGGGGATCTGTATACGCTGACGGGAAGGGCGCTTCTATGGTATATACGTTGCTAAAGTAGTTCGAGAACACTTGAGCCTTACCAAAGTCGTCTTCCACTAATGATGAAGCAGTACTGTCTCCCCATAGAGCAGGAATATTTCCTCTTCTCTTTGTCCTTTGGTTTATATAAAAATACTAGCGTTTAGGACATTCTACGGAGTCCTTAACAATCTTTTCTTCGTACAACTTTCTAGACTTACGGAGGGTCGAGGCACAAGTATTCCGAGCCTTTTGATATTGAGATTTTGACTCATCATTCCCCAGTAACCTAAATCTATCCCACATTTTCCTTTACTTACGGAGAAGGATACGGACCTTTCTACTGAGCCATGGTGGTGAGCTTTTCGGCCCCTTTGGTATAGTCCAAGGGATGTGAGGTGTGGTAACTTTTAAGTATGAATTTTGAAATGCGTCCCAGGCCGTTTCAGTTGAGGACTCTGGGTCTATTGTCCAATCTATTAACGATGCTGAATGCATGATGTCTGGTATGTTTGCTTTCCAGACGTTGGGTCTGGACTGGACTGACGCGTGCTCGTGACTGACAGTTATATGGAAGTCGAAAGTTAAAACTGCGTGGTCACTTTTACCTAGGGGTGGCATATGGTGGAGGTTCGCAACATCATCCTCATAGTGAGGCAGTATAAGATCTAATAAGGATGATTCAGTGTCCGGATCGTACCTTGTCGCTTCTTTCACATGTTGCACTAGAGCACATGTGATAACCGCATCAACTAGTTCCTGCTCGAAAGAATTCTCCGACGATTTAGTTCACAGATTTTCCCAGTCTACCATAGGTGCATTGAAGTACCCTAGGATTAGACATCGACCACTTTGGGACCAAGTATTGAGACTGCTTGATAGGATCTCATTTGCCTCACAGCTTGGACTGCGATAGACCAAATCAATCAGCAGCTCTTGTCGCTTGCATTTTAAGCGAAGACTAACTAATTCACACGTCCCACTTTCATGGGATACACTGTCGATAATAGCAAATGGGATAGCATTCCTAATGAATAGAGCTACTCCCCCTCCTTTGCGCTTTTGTGTTGTGTCGGCCATTACTAACGTAAAACCCTCGAAATCAAGTTCCATACCGTCTATAGCCTGTGTCAGCCAGGTTTCTGTTACTGCGATTATGTCTGACTTTGTAGAGTTAATTTGTACACCTAGTTCCGATCGCTTATTAAGTAAGCTTCGTGCGTTGGTGTAACAGATCCGAAGCCTGTTTAAGTGCCTTCGTGCTTCACCCAGAGTGGCTTCGGCATCATTCTCTGTCGAAGTCTTACAACCCGAAAATTTACAATTTTCAGGTCCTTTTCGCCAGCGTCTAACCTATGTTGTAGTTCTTTCTCGGCTTCCCGTCTTTTAACACGGTCTGCCAACGGTAGGTCCTTTCGGATAAAGACTCCTGAACCCTTTAATTTGTGTCCATTTTGTAAAATCAGGTCACGTTCGTTCGAAAAGCCGAATACCACTTTAAGCAGTCTGGAATGATTTGGTTTCGAGTCCGCTAGACTCCCTAGTCTGTACACCTTTAGCAAGGTGACCCCGGTCATATTTTGAGGCATGAGTTGGTTAAGCAGCTGCCTAATCAGTAAAATGTCATGCTCAAAGCGAGCTTTAGGTTCAGGGCTCTCGCTTTCCTTGATTCTATGAAAAATAGCTGATCTGTCGCTATGATCAGCTTTCGATTTTTCAACTACTTTTACGGGGGCAGGGTTCCCTTTTATATCCCTACTTTTCTTCCTTGCAACCTGTACCCATTCGTCAACGGTGCTGGTAGAAGCAATAACAGTTGCATCAAACCTAGTGTTGGGTTTTGGGGGGTTGTCGACGACCTGAGAGGTCGGGTTATGGTTACCGCTTGAAACCGATCGAGCCTTGCGATTGCGGCTTCTAGGTGTTTCCTGTTGGATCCCATCTGGGAGACGGGGAACAGAAGACCCTACTTTTCTTGAGCTTTTGGTTAAGGCAGGCCCCATTGGAGACTGCTCTTCCTTCTTTGACGGGCGTGAGTCATCTATCATCGGACTAACCTTAGTTTCCTTCACGCTGATTTGCGTGTCAACAGATCGAGCGCTGTTTGACGCGTTCCGACTATGCTTGTTAAAACACTTCTTTGCAGCATCAACCAGTGAGATGGCCTCGGTTAACAAGCTGTTTGCATCCGAGCAGCACTGTTGACAAAGCCATACACAACCCTTCTTACTGAACTGTTTGAAAGCAGCAGGCGTTAAGTTCGTGCAAACTTCGTGGTACCAGCCTTTGCACTCATCGCACTGCATGCCGCTTTCAACAGGATAACGACAACCCGGACGTTGGCAACTGCTTTTTTTACACTGTCCGGTCATTTAGGAGGGTTTTTTCAATTTGCGATGATACCCAGAAACAAAAAAATTATCAATGACCAAAAAAGTGAAGAGCTGTAGATTGCTAGGACCAAAAGTACTAACAGATACAGTTGGAAAAGAGGTACTCAAGAGTACCAACGATAAAACTAATTGAGAGAACAGTAAAAACGATACTCTAGTCGAATACTTTAACTGAAATAAATTCAATTGAAGTGAAAACAGTAGTCTTGATACGTAATAAACGATCAAAACCATGAAATTTACTCAGCGAGGAAAAATACCACTGTCCTTTTTAAATAGCGCGCGGTTTACTGTGAGAAAAATTATTAAAGGTTTACAACTATACACAGATACAGAATTCTGTTGATCAACATATTGATATGGTGGTTTTCGTTACACAGATTTTAGCTTTTGAACGCCTCAACTGGTTAACTGTGTTTGGTTTACTTGTTGTAAATTTATTATTTCGAGTAATGTTGTTAATTTCAGACATCCTTAAGCAATTCCACTACTTGAACATTAATATTCTATTTTCACGTCAAGTTTGTTGGTTAGTTCCTTATTTTTTTCCATTGGTCGCTTTTAACAAAATTCAATGATCTCGTTAAACTGTGTTTATATATTATTATGGCTAAAAATTCAGTAAATTTTACATTTGTAGTTAAAGTACTCCTTTACGTTTATTTGATTTCGAGTAGAATATGCAGTGAACGAAGTCGAAATGTGTCTACTTCTTGTTAAGGATAATTAGTTTTAACTAAACAGTTGAATCTATGTTTTGTATGGATCCCTCGTTTTGCAAATCTAGGAATTCTGAAGCAACCTGGTACTTTTTGATAATCTAGATTTCAGAACCAACGGATTTTCTAGGTCATTTTAACTTGATATATTTACTGACGGTGATCTAAACAATTTGGTTTCACTTGATTTTTGATGTAGAGACCGTCTTAAACGGCGCCAAAACTTTTGCCAGCAAGTTTTATGATTTTTCGAACCTATTTTATAAAACCTTTTTTTCTATGAGTAATGACAGGGAAAAAAGCCGTATTGGTAGATAACTCCAAAGAATGAATTGTTTTGTAAGCACTCAACATTGATGCTGACTGTTTTAGTGTTACAAAACACTGGCCAGCTGAAGATACTCGATCACGTATGCACGTCAGACTTAGTTTTAACTTATTACAAGATGCTTCTCCTGTTGTAAATACTAGCGTAGAGGTTTCACATTACGCTGCCGACCGTCATCCACCTCTTCTATATAAGGCTCGAGTCATCTCATCAGAAGAAATTTAGATCTTCAATGTGTTTGCAAACGTTGCTCTACCAGGTGTCTATATAACAGTTTCTAGCCAATTTACAACGGTCTCTGAAACATAGGGACAAATGTTTTGAATATCACATACTGTATGTCGTATTTACTTTCATATTAGGCCATCAAAATTAGAACGACAGCATAAAACCCTAAATATTAAATAAGACAGTCTCTTTCTTCAGAAATTATGTTTTGTCGCACATCTTTATGATAGATAAACAGGTTTTTAAGTGCTATCTCAGTTTTTATCACAGTTTGAAAAGACTAGTCTCTCAAGATTAATTTATACATTTTATATTTTAATTCGGGTTTACGAGCTTTCGTAACACTTTTGACATTTTGTGATGCTTTGGAGTTTTCACCGGATTTTCGATGTGGTGATTTCTTCATTGTATGAATATTACAATTCTAAGCTATGTAACTCTAAAGTCAACCAAAATTTTCAAAGTTTGTTACTAGCTTTGAGGAACAAAATGTGTTATATTTCGTTCGTAGATTCCATGACCTAGTGTTTTTATGTACTGATTGTCATTCTTCACCTTTCTATTATTTGGATTGGCCTTTATATATTTATTTCCTATCTCATGAAATGATCCTAAACATATTAACCTTGATCTCTATAAGAATTATTTTAACTTTGTGGAGTTTACAGAATTCAGGTATTAAAATTTCTAAATGCACTGCGTTTTGCTTTGAAATTTCACCCTTTGTTTTCTTTTCGAAAAATGCATTTTAATGATCAGGTAGAACTCAGGTTAGTAACTGCGTTGTGTTCTTTTTATAGGGATATAAATATTAGTGATAATATCAAGATTCCTTCAGATTACTTTTGATTTCTGGCTTTGAAATTGTTAAATAGTTCAGTTTATGATAGAAAAACAACAATTGATTTTATTCTTGGAATGCAACTATGTTATTTATCTCAGTTCATGTATCGGAATTCGGATCGATTATAGAATTTGCAAATATTGTTCTCACATCCTGAACTACCAAGGATCTTAAATTTGTGATATTGTTGAACAATAAACTTGTACCGTAATGGCATTAAGCTGTCTTTCTCGTTTAATATGGGAGCAGATAATGAGCTGTTTGCCACCAGTGCACTTTTATGAAGCCCGTTGTATCATTGGGGAAGATCTTATTGATCAGACATTGGAATTAAAATCTGAAGTAAGCTATCATATTTTGATAAGCTAGCTGACAGATTATTTCTGTTTTAGAACTAGCCAACAATAACGATTCTTTTCTACCAACCTCTCTAGATTCTTCAAATTGCTCAACTGACGTGGAATATTTCACTTTCCTTTATTTAAATTCCATCGAAAAATAAGTTGAATTCCGTTTGCTCAAAGATAATGGAGTAGATCGAAGCACAATAATCCTGATCAAACATTTGATAGTTTGAAAGGTGAGCTCTCTGGAAATTCCTTTAAAAGACTACAATTAAATAACTTCAACTACCATATTTATAACGTCGCGAATGTTATGGAGATTCTTACTTTTAAGAACTATTTTATGATTGAATTCACGAGATGACCCAAGCTAGAACACCATTGAAAACCTTAAATCATTGGACGGCTGTTTCATCTTAATATGAGGATCCTCAGCGATGCGCAAGATCACGGAACAGTTGGAGTTGGACATTAACGCCGTTGGACGCCGGCTCAATGGTCCAGAGGCCAGGCGTTTGCGCGTTGGACCGAAAGTCTCAGGTTCGAGCCCCAAAAACTGGATTGCGGATCCCCACTGTTGAGGGGCTCCATACTAGGACGAAACGGCCGTCCAGTGCTACTGCGTTTTCAGTGTTGGTCTGGTTTAAATCGACTTGTGAATTAAACCGTGAAAATACTACAATCTCCAGAAATCTCCATACTGAAAATATTTTATGCACCTTTTTTATTTCGGTGATTTATCACTGACTTTGCAAGACAGTCAACATATCAGCTGTCATTATAGCTTTTTAGGAAAGTGTAGTTTCCATGGTACTATTTATAAATGAGTTTTCTGGTTTCAGTTTTCTCTAACATTACATTTAGTGATTCTACCATCATTAAAATCAATTTACTACGGGCAATATTTTGATTAATAACAACAGATTTGGTAAGATAATATAACACACAATGATGAAACAATTTGAACAGAAATAGATGAACAATTTGGTACCATGAAACACAATTATCGTAAAAAATACGTTTAGAATTTCACTTATTATGATAAAAAAAAGTTTTGTATTACATTTACAATGTAAAAACTTGTGAGTTTTAGTTCCAGTCATACATGAAAATAACTCGCATAATATTCACTTGAAGATTTACACATTGAAACGGATGATACACCTAGCAAATAAAATGAATAATAAATAACTTTTTGAATTAAATAGCAAAATTCTCTCTTGCATCAGTGATGACTTGAATTATATATATTAATTACTGAGTTATGACTCGTGAATACAAACTCAACACTTTCAGTGATACGGAAATTGATGCTTATGTAATTCAAAATGTGTTACTAAGTTTAAGTGTGGTAATTAAACGAAGCACTATGATGTGTTTAACAACATTTCGCTTATTTTGGCCAAGCAATAAAGTTTTGGCCACTATGTTATTATCTAAACAACACTTGTTGTCAAATGATATACATATTTGTTACAATATGAAGTTATTAATTACGTACAGCTTTCTTTTGAAAATTTTTCCTGGATTTTAGAAGAATCTGAACTTGAATATTACACTCAAAAAATAAGGTAACTAATTAACTGAAGTCAAATTTCGAGTAATCACTTTATTATTATTATTATTATTATCCTTTATCAATACGGTAGAATTTTTCCAAATGTTTCAGTATGTGTTATATTTTAGCATTTGAAAGTATTTATCTCGTTTTGTAGTTTCCCTACAACTAATCGGTTATTCAGTCCTCGATGTAATTGTTAAACTCTGAAATCAATGTTCTGACCTTTATTAGATGTAACACTAAACGTTTCAGAAAAGTACATAATTTACTCATATCAGCTTAGTACCTTTTTATGCAATACATTGTTTATAAATAATATATTCATATAGATTCTCTTATTACAAATGTAAAACAGATGTGTTTAATAGCTGTTATTTTATTGTAAACATTAACATTAATAAATAAGTATATAAAGTAAAGTAGCAGGGGTAGTATGTTAAAAAAAATAAAAGTCAAAACCCTATAATTATAAGGTTATGGGGAAGTTTTGATTTTTATTCATAATTTATTAGTTTTCCAGCTGTAGAAAATAGCTATCTCGAGGAATACAATTAGAAATTTAACAATCTTGTATAAAATTTGTAGAGAAACCCAAGGATATTCTGCGATTATATGTTGTATTCTTTCTCCGACTTACCTCGAAACTAGCTAGTATGCTATTTGTCATAGGCAGTATATAATTCTCTATATATTCATCTTGCTTGGTGGTGGTTCATAAACTTATTGGCTGGGTTTCTTTATTGTGGGTCTTGAATAGAAAATCTGATAACTGAGTGGAATTTTGACTATGATTATGGTTCATTACGTGTGATTGCTTTACATTATCGTCTTTCAGTGATCGTGTTATACAGCTGTAAAGTGACACAAGAAAAACTACCGTTCATCATGCTCATCTGGATAGTAATGTCGCATTACTGGTTGCGTAATCTGGTGAAAGCTAAGCAAACCATTTACACCTATGTTGAAGTACTAAGTCTTTTTGTGAGCTGTATACGTCACTGTCTGTACATGCTGTTTCGGGGATAATGGAGTTTGAATCCATTGCCGTGTATGTTTTTTGAATGGAGGGTAGATCTTGGATGACTGCTGTTTCGCTTGATGTACAGTTTATCGAGGATTCATGGAGGCTGAAATCATTTTCCAGCTGTGTGCGATTGAGAAATCAATCCATCCACTTCTGTTGCATCTCCAAAGCGTGGATAATTCAGCAGCTGCGAGTGTAATTTGACTCAGAACTTTAACTGTCGCTCAAATAGCAGTTGTAATCAATCGGAAGGGAGAGTCTTTTTTTAATCAGCACCAATAATGAAAATTACTGCATAAATAATGACCAATGTCGTTCAAGGACACTGATGACAAATCTGGATGCTGACTGCTCGAAATAATTAGACTGAATTTCGTCCAATTACAGGCTGACTTTGGATCGTATTTCTTTTTACCCCGTCGCCATTTGTTATAACTTGTGGCCGCCTATTAGAGAGCAGTGACTTATCGTTCGGACCAATGACGCGTAAAACACCTGAGAGCAGCTTAGAGTTCTGATTGACCCTGCTTCCTGCCTAGCCCAGCCAGTTAAGTCCAGAACACAAGTCTCAGCCTCTGCGGTATGAATCATGTATTTCAAATATACTCTGTTTATACACCAATCAAGCAGACCACATCGTACCATAAAATAGAAAATAACATGTGTACAAGATTTGGCCAAATGTGGCTGTGAATGTGGGAGGTAGTGATTAATAGACAGGGAATAATTCAAGAATGGAAAATCGTATAATAACAGTTCGTAGGTCAAAATAAAGCTTATGACAAGATATTAAATAAGAAAGAAAGATTAGTTCAGCGAAGAGTTCTCTTTTCGGCGAATTCATTTTCAAAGTTGTACAATCGCAAATATATATACTTATTTTTATAGGGTGATAATAATACTGATAGTAAACTTCTGTTATATATGGTGACAGTGAGGTTAAATAAACAAAGATATTAAAATATTTTTTAAACAAGGAAAGTTTAATAATCGTTTGATAGTTAATGGCTGAAGTATTTATTGGGTAAGGATGGCTCAGCATGATAAAATAAAATGTTGAAACAGAGATGAAATGTGATCGGAATGATCGTGGAAATAAAAACAAACCGGTTGGGGGTAGAAGATTTGAAGGGAAGATGGAAGGTGAAGCAGGTGGCTGTAAGGGAACAAGAGTATGAAGAAGTAGAAAAAAATTTTAATACATTAAGACCATGGTAGTAGAACAGGTTGTACCAGTCTCTTTTGTACACACAATTCTGGTTTTTTAAATGTATGGCTATTGCCTCGGCAATGCAAAGAAGATGCAGTCTAATTGTCTTAGGAAGACTTCTACTTACCTTGTTGATGACTTTGATCGCAGAGTCTGTCTTGATTGAGTGACCTATATTCACTTCTTATTGAACCGTTTCCTCCTCTTTTTAGCCATGCCGGACAATGTTCTTGAATTATTTTGGATAAAATACGCATCGAACGACCTATATACCTAGCTCCACAAGAGCAGGTAAATTGGTAAATGCACATTGAGTTGGTCAGATGCGATAATTTATCTTTCAGATTATTGGTGAACAGTGATCGGCTGGAGAATAATATTCGCAATGTTGCTGAGAAGAATGTTCTTTTTAAAGAATCCGAAATTCTCCTCTTTAAGATATATGCGGCTCTATCACCTTTGAAATCGATCTTCATGTATAAAATTTTCTTTTCTACTGTAATCGTTTGTGGTTTTGGCCTTTTTGGCTTCATGTTCTTATCAATGAATATAGAAGGATATCCGTTTTTGATAAGTATTTCTTTTAAAAGGCTCAATTCTTTCTCTACGACCTCGGGGCTACAGATTCTTCGTATTCTTGCTTTTATTTCCACGATCATTCCGATCACATTTCATCTCTGTTTCAACATTTTATTTTATCATGCTGAGCCATCCTTACCCAATAAATACTTCAGCCATTAACTATCAAACGATTATTAAACTTTCCTTGTTTAAAAAATATTTTAATATCTTTGTTTATTTAACCTCACTGTCACCATATATAACAGAAGTTTACTATCAGTATTATTATCACCCTATAAAAATAAGTATATATATTTGCGATTGTACAACTTTGAAAATGAATTCGCCGAAAAGAGAACTCTTCGCTGAACTAATCTTTCTTTCTTATTTAATGTCATAATGGGTGTATTCCGTTTATTATGATAAGATAGATGTGAATACGAATGGTTTAGTTAATTAACAATTATACGACAAAAATATACTCACAGTATTGGTCCATAAATAGATCCAAAAAAATTACCACTCATTATTCTTATCGGGACACAACAGACTGGTAATATTAACTTATTTGTTATCTCTCACTTTTATATTGAGGAGGGTAAGCTTGGAGCGTTAAGCAGTCAACTTAATCTCTAAATCCTACTGCAATAATTTATGATAATGAAATGAAACAAAGGATCAACGGCTAAACACTTACAAAAATGAAATACAGAAAATTGAACATAGCCCATTTTGTACTTATTTTTGATAAAATTTTATATTATCAGCATAGGGTTGTGGAGATTATTAGGTTTTTGACTGAGATCATGAACCGATTGATAATTACCATCTGCTCACTAGTGACTAGCTTCGTGAGGAAGTTCTAGTGGGGAGCCGTGACCAGTGGAGACAGGTATCTACCTCAGTACAATGGAAGATGGATTGAGATTAGATATTAACACCATTGGATGTCGACTCAGTGGTCTAGAGGTTAAACGTTTGTGCGCGAGACTGAAAGCCCTGGGTTCGAATCTAGCGAGTGGGACGGTGGATGCGCACTGCTGAGGAGTCCCACAATAGGCCGAAACGGTTGTCCAGGGCTTCCAGGTTTTCAACGGTGTTCTAACATCAATCAGTTCATGGTCTCAATCAGAAACTTTTTGTATGTTCGGTTGTAAAATATTTCATTTATTTTATTTTAGAAATGCTATACTTGCAGAAATCTCACATTTGAAAACTTACTTACAAAATATTCAGGTATGTTCAATTTCTGTTTGCATTTTCTGAAAATTAAGAATATGACTGTATATCTTTTAAACCAAAAGAATTAGTTCATTATATTTTATCGATTACGATAACTGTGCTCTTCCTGGTTTTCTACCTTAGAATATTCATGTATTTAATCTAGAGATAAGTAAACGTTTAGGCACTTTTTAATTCCTCCATAATTATTGTCTGTTACTACTCTATCTTTATACATCAGAGTCAGTTTTATCCAAGACTTCTTGAGTTTTTGATCAATAGCACTATTGTTTCTAGGTTGTAAACAGCCAAGAAGAATCTACAAAAGGTCAACAGCGATTCCAAGAACTTGTTTCTGAACGTATTTAAGACTGCATTACTCAGTTCTAGAGTCCTAGAGATCATAATTGAGCTACTTCAGCAGTGACTGACTTTGCATAAGAGTGTATAAGTTACATTATTCGGTCGTTTGGTCATAATCATTTCTCACTTATCTAGCTTTTAGTTTCGATTGAACAACATTTCTTAAGTTTATTTTAAGCCTGAAGGCCCTAATGAGAACATTATTTCTACAGTTTGATCAGTATTAAAAATAAAGTGTGTGACAAATATCGCTACGTAGTAATTTATTCGTAGAAGATAGGAATATTTCAAGAACTTGAACTTTTATTAGATTGGCGTAAGTTTAGAAAAGGGTTTATATGGATCTCCGTGGAACAAAGAGAGCAGTTAACATAGCTTCAGATCACCACCTGGTTATGACCAAGATGAAACTAAGGATAAAGAAGAACTGCACAACTGGAGAAACAGCATTAAAAAGGTTTAATAGTCTTCCTTCGAGATACTGACAAACCCAACGAATTCAACATAGCTCTCAACAACAGGTCCCAAGCATTACAAGATCTACTCGAAAAAGAGGAAACCACTATGAAAAATAACTGGAAGTGGACTGAAGAAGCACCAACTTGAACGTGCCATGGGGTTCCGGGACGCAAGAAGCATCATCATAAGGAATGGATCCCTATCGAAACCCCGAACGGCATTCAATAGAGGAAGAACAAGAAGACAGCAATTAACAACAGCCGAACAAGAACAGAGAAAGTCAATGCACAGACCGAATACACAGAACCAAACAAGCAAGTGAAGAGGAGCATTGGAGCCGATAAGCAGAAATACGGGGAAGAGGTAGCAATGACAGCGGAAAGAACTACAAGAGAATGAAATATGAAATAACTGTATGACACAACGAATAAACTATCAGGGAAATGTAGCAAACCAGGGAGACAAATCAAGGATAAAGAAGGCAAGAGAATCACTAAGATTCAAGAACGGAGGAACAGTTGGGTATAACACTTTAAAGAACTCTTGAATAGACCAGCCACGCTGAACCCACACAATATCGAAGCAGCACACACAGACCTTCCTATAGATGTCACTCCACAAACGATCGAAGAAACCAGGATGGCCACCAAGCATACCAACAGTGGGAAAGCAGCAGCACTTGAAAACATACCGGCTCAAGCACTAAAGTCGCACATAGAAGTAACCACAAACATGCTCCACGTTCTATTCGGGAAGATTTGGGAGGAAGAACATGTGCCACCGATAGACCGGAAAGAAGGATACCTAATCAAGATATCAAAAAAGGAGATCTGAGTAAGTGTGAGGACTACGGAGGAATCACACTACTTTCGGTACCAGGAAAGGTTTTCAACAGAGTGTTGCTGAGCCGGATAAAAGGTTCCGTAGATACTAAGCCTCAGGATCAACAGGACAGATTCCGTAATGATCAATAATGCACAGAACGAATTGCGACACAACGGATCATTTTTGAGCAGTCAACCAATGGAATTTGTCACTATACATCAGCTTCCTTGACTATGAGAAAGCGTTTGACAGAGTGGATAGAACCTTATGGAACTTTCTTCAACAGTGTTGTGAGTAGCTGAGAAGATCGCCAACATCATCCGCAATTCATACGACGGACTAAACTGCAAAGTCGTGCATTGAGGGCAGTTTATAGATGCATTCCAAATGAGTACCGGAGTCAGACAGAAGTGCTCACTCTCACTATTTCTCTCTTCTAGTGGTTGACTGAATTACGGAATACAATGAGCAGATTGGATGCAACTAGATGATTTGGACTCTGCAGATGACATAGGTCTTCTATTTCATACACATCAGCAAATGAAGGTCAAAACAACTAGTGTAGCAGAAGACGTTACATCAGTAGGCGTCAACATACAAAGGCAAAAAAGCAAGATCCTGAAGTGCAATATAGTCAGAACCAACCCAATCACACTTTATGGACGAGGTCTGGAAAAGTGGAAAGTTTGACGTGCCTGGGCGGCATCATCGATAATCAAGGAGAATCTGATGCAAACGTAAATTAGAGGATTGACGAAGCAAGGGCAACATTCCTACGGGTGAAGAACACATGGAATTATAAACAACTGTCAACCAATATCAAAACCAGAACGTCAAGATAGTTTTATTTTACGGAGCCAAAACTTCAAGAACTTGTGGGGGCTGGTACCATGTCCAGCCCAGATAGGCTATTTTAGCCTCTGGACAGATGAATGTATTCATTTTGCCTAAGCCACATTTCACTCTGTCACTTATTAGTCTGAACTGTTTTTTATATGATCGTATGTGTGCTAATTACTTACCATATTCACTGTGTCTGTAACTTATTTTTGTTTGACTATAAATATCGATTCGCGGTTGGTAAAATCGAATTGGCCCATATGCCTCCTCCGACCCGTTTTGCTTCGTTCTTTCCTCTTCGCTTTCTTCACTTCATTTCTCTGATCGTCTATCTGGATCAACAGTTATATGAAATGTACGTATTCGAAACTCATTGTTGTACTTGACATATTTAATTCCGTTATTCAGTAACGCGATTTCAGTAAATGATTATATACCGGGATTGGAAACATGCGCATTTAGACAACAATCATTCAATTACGATCATTCGTACGATATAGTTGGAGTCAGATATCGAGCCACTATAACTACTACAACCATTATAAAAGGTACAAGTATTTATAAACAATTATCTACTCAATGCAACAGCTTACTATGAGAGCGATCGAATCAGCTTCCAACTGAAGAGAAAATTAAGCAAAGATGGCGGAGATGGATAGGACATACATTACGAAAACCATCAAACTGTTTCACGAGGCAAACCCTAACTCGAAATCCCTAAGGGAAAAGGAGAAGAAGCAAACCAAGGAACACGTTGCTCTGAGAACTGCAGGCAGACATTAAAAGAATGAGTTGCACTTGACAAGAACTGGGAAACAGAACCATTTACGGAGTTGATTGGATAGTCGTGGTTGACACGCTATGCTTCTCAACAAGGGGTAACAGGTGCAAGTAACTAAGCAATAATTTCGGACACCAAGTCGATTGTTACTACTTCAAATAATAAGATTTGCCTATTTATAACTGTAGGGACATGATAAAGAGCAAATCGAAAAAGAATATTTCTTCTTTGAATTATTTATTCAATGTCTTAATGGAAAATATTATTATATATTGACAATATGGCATGTAACAAATTTCCAATTCAAAACTTATTGATACCTTTCAAATAAAAGCAATGAATTGAATCGCAAATGAAGAAAATATATTTTACAGAAAATTCAATGACTTTTAAGCTCATAGAAATAAAATAAGAATATGAAATGATTGGGTATATCTATATTGCACTTCTATTCTCTAATTCGATCTGTGTTATCACTTAGCATATACTGAGTGAAATTCAAATTGTTCCAATCTCCATAATTCTTTATTCTTAATTCAGTAAACGTTACATTCCCTTGTACATAGTATTATGCCACGTGTTGTTTGGGATATTAACAGTGAATAAATGATTATGAAAGATCTATTCGACACATATAAAATATCAATAGTTGAGATGATGAATCAGTTGTACCTGAATCACCGTGGAAAATGTGGAAGCACTGGACGGTCATTTCGTCGCATTGTGAGACTCCTCAACAATGCGCATCCACGATCGCGTCTCACGAGACTCAAACTCACGAACTATCAGTCACGCACGCGAACGCTTAACCCCTAAACCATAGAGTCGGCATCAAATTGACTCATCACCTCAACTATGGAAATTACTACAATATCCAAAAAAATCCCTTCTGATACATATGTAGTTGTTCATTTTATGGGGTTTTTATTGATGTGTGGGAGATATTGAATTTATCGAGTACCGATTCAGTGTTCTAATGATAACACATTGACTTCCACACCTCAAGATCCTACATTTCATTCCTGTTCGATTTATCATTGTTTACTGTTATTAAGTGTTATATGGTGATGACCATCCATGTCTCCTTAATTTTCAGTGATTGTGTAATTAAATTCAATCCGTCTTTTTGCATATTATGTTTAAACACAAACATAATATGAGTAATGTTGATTGGTTGTAAATAGTTGTTTGGATCAAACCCTATATGTAGATTTCGCGCTAGTATACAACTTGTAGTAGGACATACCTGTAAACTTGAGGGGTTGAAATCAGCTTAATTTACCCTAACTTTCTGAGACTTTACCGTCGAGTTATTCGGTCACCGACTTATTTTCTGTAAGACTGAGATATTTACTCTGAATGACTATTTATCAGAGTTTTTTAATTTATTACTCTGTCAAACAGAAACTGACATTTGTTTAAATATTTCAAGCTTTGTCTTTTCTGTTTTTCTTAATTCCACTAAGAATTCTCTTTTGGAAAACTTTAGTACATTAAATCATGAACAGGAAAATATCAGTCAAACCCTTCAAGTAGATTCAATATCATCCAAACCAAAACCAGTTCACAACAATTCAGTAACTAACCAGAAACTGTCTTGCGGTTTAGAGTTCCTCCTTAGTCAAAATTTAATTAATGGGTTACTTAGCAATTCAAATGTTCCTTGTTCATCAGTTTCATTGTCAAATCGATCATCAAGTGACACTTCCTCTTCTTCATCCTTATCCAGTAAATTTAAGAGACAATCAGTTCATGATTCGTTGTCTCTTCATCAGATTTCGAATCATTGTAGACAAATGCAAATGTTGTCTTTAGAAAATAACAAAGCTATTACAAATAGTAATAATGTCCTACGGAAATCAATAACTACCTACAAATTATCCACCTCGTAAGTCAATAAAATCAAACAGAATATTCAGCATAAATAGGAACAATCATTTGTAACATTTAGATCAATAAAACTAATTTTATGTGATTGTTTATTTCAATAGTTGAGATCATGAGTTAATTGAAGCTAGACCACTATGAAAAACCTGGAAGCACTGAACAGCCGTTTTGTCCTATTGTAGGTCTCCACAGCGGTGCTCATCCACGATCCTGCCTCGTGAGGTTTGAGCCCAGGACTCGTTGTTCTTGCGCCTGAACGCTTAACCTCAGGACCACTGAAATGGACGGCATCTAACTGTGTTAATGTTTAACTCCAACCAATTCACGAAATTGAGCGACACGTCCACCATTGTCTTCAGTGAGTTACTATCTCACAGTCTGGCTTCAAGAGGTATTTCCTGGAGTTCTGGTCTAGTGTAACAATTAGTTTTATTTAATTTAATTAATGTTAGATATTAATTGTAAATTCTGAGATGTATACTACGTTTGATGATTCCATGTTTATAAGTGATTCTGTGCTGTACACTATTTATGTCAACAGACATAAGTAATATGTAACGCCATTCGGAAGTGGAAAAACTGACAGCAGAAGATAACGAGACTATAATTTACGGAAGACCTTTGAGCGACGCTAAACTGATATTGAGAGTATCCACCTGATAACTAGGAGCAAATGAGGTTTATAAACCTGTGTGGAGAATTCGAATTATGATTTGCAGTTGATGGTTAAAGTTAAGAATTAGATTTAGGGTTTTCATCACAAACTGATGTCAGATAAAATGCCAAAACTCTATTTAGTCAAATGAATGAGTGAATATTGCGCCAAAATCCAAGACCTGTTATCTTAGACCTGATTGGTTTGTTCATAAATTATAGTCTCGCCGTTCTGTAAAACTAGGTGTAACTTATTTAAGAGTATCATTTATATTCAGACGATATTCATATGATAGATAAAATATTTCAATATTCACTTATCCACTAGCGTATGCATACACATTTTTTTGTTTTACATATTTGTTTTTCTATCTTTTACTGTTCTACAAATCCGATTTCATATTATTTAATAACTGTAGTTGTGTTTTCTTTCCTCATACAATTTCTATTATGCTATAGAATAAATGTTATTGTAAATTGAATATTATCATTAAAATTAATGATGATAAATAACTATTACAATTACTATTCTATAATACAATACATATAATATATCTTTATAGCATTAGTCGATCGTTTCGTCCTATCGTAGGACTCTTCAACAGTAAGCATCCATGATCCGTTCAGTGCTTTCCGATTTTCCATGTTAATCTAACTTCAATTGACTCATGATTTCAACTATTAAAAGTTACTATAACATCTACACACAAAAAACTCCTTTATGATTTATTTTTTATATTTTTTTTTATTAATAGAGAGACAAAACAATTACAAAATGATACAAATCAAAAATTTGATGAACAAATTCATTTACCTGATATTTCAAGTTCATTAACATCAAATTCATTTAAACAATTAAAACAAAATTCTTATTCAATCAATAAATCTCAATTAACCAATCAAAATGTTTTATATAAATCAGATTCAAATCAATTATGTAATATAAAACAAATATATTCTAATGATAATCGTTATAATTCAGCGCAAAAATTTCGACAAATGATATTAAAAGCGCGTCAAGATAGCGGAAATTATTAAAAATCAATTCTATTATTGATTGTTATTTGTTTTTTTCCATTTAATTATTTTGATGATATTAAATCGATCATATTGATTTATCAAATAAATAAATTTGTAAATATTTTTTTTAAATTTTCAATAAAATATAGGAAATAACTGATTGTATTCATTTTGATTTTATTTTTTGTTCAAGTATGTTCTACTAAAAAGTTTGGGTAAGCTGATTTCAACCCCTCAAGTTTACAGGTATGTCCTACTACAAGTTGTATACTAGCACGAAATCTACATATAGGGTTTGATCCAAACAACTATTTACAACCAATCAACATTACTCATATTATGTTTGTGTTTAAACATAATATGCAAAAAGACGGATTGAATTTAATTACACAATCACTGAAAATTAAGGAGACATGGATGGTCATCACCATATAACACTTAATAACAGTAAACATTGATAAATCGAACAGGAATGAAATGTAGGATCTTGAGGTGTGGAAGTCAATGTGTTATCATTAGAACACTGAATCGGTACTCGATAAATTCAATATCTCCCACGCATCAATAAAAAACCCATAAAATGAACAACTACATATGTATCAGAAGGGATTTTTTTGGATATTGTAGTAATTTCCATAGTTGAGGTGATGAGTCAATTTGATGCCGACTCTATGGTTTAGGGGTTAAGCGTTCGCGTGCGTGACTGATAGTTCGTGAGTTTGAGTCTCGTGAGACGCGATCGTGGATGCGCATTGTTGAGGAGTCTCACAATGCGACGAAATGACCGTCCAGTGCTTCCAGATTTTCCATGGTGATTCAGGTACAACTGATTCATCATCTCAACTATTGATATTTTATATGTATCGAATAAATCTTTCATAATCATTTATTCACTGTTAATATTCCAAACAACAAGTGGCATAATACTATGTGCAAGGGAATGTAACGCTTACTGAATTAAGAATAAAGAATTATGGAGATTGGAACAATTTGAATTTCACTCAGTATATGCTAAGTGATAACACAGATCGAATTAGAGAATAGAAGTGCAATATAGATATACCCAATCATTTCATATTCTTATTTTATTTCTATAAGCGCAAAAGTTATGAATCTTTACTATTTGTTTTCTATCACAGTACTTTGCGGATGATGGTTCACCACTACGTATCTGGAGTATCTAGCTCATGATAAGTTTCAGATCGTTAATCTGTTTTGTAAGCATGTGATATGATTTATAGAAATCATATTCAATTTTCTTCTGAATTTCATCTTTATTTCACAGCGTTCATTTCTTTTGATAAAACACGGTTACTGGAAGGATTATTAATAAGTATATATTTTGTTAATTAAATCTGTGTTAGGTAATCGGTAATCTCAAATTAATTTAGTCTATGAAATAAGATTGTCTCCGTAGTAACATTAAGAATAAAATATGAAGTCGGTAAGATTCATCAGCTAATTGTCTGAAACATTTCATTTTTAATTAACAAACTGAAATAAATTAGTCACGTTTGATGAAACTCATGGTATTAAACTGAACTAGAAAGTAAATCAATCCAGTTTATTACGAAATTGTTAACGGAATGTAATGAGACGACCACGAAAGCTCTTTTATACATGTTTACATAAGAGTAGAAATATTTATTCTATATTTCGTATGTATGTAGGTTGATAACCATTTATCTAACAATCAATGTAGAAGGAGATCATTTTAGTCATAGATTGGTCTCAATTGGGGTATCATTGGAAACTACAGGATACTGGACAACTATTTCGTCCTAGTAGGTGACCTCTCACTACTCCTAAAGCCATGAACATTGAGGACTTGACATTATTATTTAACAAAATCTAATTTAGATCAATAGTTTTCACCTTGCATAGACTCCTCACTGACGTAACACAATCATATCATTACCGTTTACATTGTTTGGAAAATTGATAGTGGTCCCCATAATTCAACCTCAACAGGAGTATCATCATTTCAAATTTCTCCAATTGTATTAATTTGACCATCGAAAATCTGTTTACCGAATCGGCGTTTATCTTACAGTTTTCCCACCTGAATTGACCAATATTAGTGTTCATTATCTTGAACTCTTAAAATCAGGACGACTTATACTTCAAACGGCTGATCACAATTCATAACACATAAAAGAAATCTTGATGCGGAGTTTTATACATTATGGTTATAATCTGTAATACTATACAAGTGGGTTCTCTACTAACTTAATTATTCATCAGAAAGGATATGTTAATTGAGAAGTAAGAATTTATTAGAGCCAAGTGTGTCTATCTGATGACGTTAACTGGTCATGAAGAATGCAATTATGGTGCATACCGAACTAACGTTTCCATTATTTAATTAATTTTTAGAAATTTTGACCCTAGTTAATCGAAACGTTATAGTTCCAGTTTATTACACTTGATTTGCTGTTTAAACCATATATTTAAATGAAGTCAAGTTTATCTCAGGAAATTTTGGTTTCAAAAATTGTCCAAATTTAAAACAAATACTTTTAGAATTATTTTCTAACTTCATGAACGCATCAAATGTAGAAATGTCTGTTGAAATTTCTATATACATTATCATCTGACACATGTACTACTTTTAAATTATTCAGTAACATGAAGACTAATCAATAATTTTCATGGATTCGCCGTTATTTTCCAGTATCTTATGTAATGTTTACTGTTCTCTAGAGTTGATAAAGTACTATTCATCACGGTTCAGTGTAGCCACAAGTTTATTACGATGTGGGACATACTTGACTCCAAAGTTTCTCATAATTTACAAATGATGTAAAATTTGAAGTTCACATCACGTTTGATTAGTAAAAACTATGGGGTACTTAAGGTAAAGAGTTTCATATTCATCTACAAGTCTCATATTATTCTTTTGGAAACAGGTGAATTCAGTACTGCTAGAAATCAAAGTATAGTATATAACTTCCTGAAGGTTAAGTAATGCGATCTATTAGAAGATATATATATATATCAGGACTCAGTAGCTAACTGGATAACGCGTTGGCGTTTGAAACGAACGGTACTGGGTTCGAGTCCCGGGTATGCCCGTCCGACGAGTCCCACATAGGACGAAACGCTCATTCTGGACTTCACTGCTAGCCACTATCCATCTTTGTTTAAAATAGTGAATTTGTTTTCTGACAATCACTTCAGATGCCTGAGAAACAGAATAACTATTTGAAATTTATCATCAATGAACAACCTTTATCATACAATATACTGAGCCTGAGATCTACAATTCTAGTCCCAGAAACTATATCATTAGGCTAATAATTTATACTATTTCACTAAATTTTAAATGACCAGTAAACTGTTTTAAATAAATTAACCGAATAGTTGATAATATTTCCTACTTGTGACTTTCGATAACAATTAGACAGCTGTAACATCAGAGTTGAAAATAATAGACTTACTTCTTGAATAAATGTTTATGTAAATGTACTCCGCAATAAGTTTAAAATAAACAACTCTTATACAACTATTCAGAAATTTGTAAATATTTTCAATGCTGATTAAAAATGAAATATATGACTTTAATTACAAATTTAATTCTATTCTAGTTAAATCTAGCTGTTAAGCTGAATTTATTTCTTATTTTTTATAGCATTTCCGATCTTCATAATCATGGGGCTTTGAAAAGATGAAGTGAAATAATCAAGTATTAAAGCTTAACTTACATTTGTGTAGTTGATCTATTCGAATTACATTAATAGTAACAACAATTGAGGTGCCTCTAAACTACATAAATAATCATTATTCATGAAAAAAATTTGAATGTTTAATTTGATCTTCTTTTTATTTGTTCACTTCAGGTATTTACTTGTTCACTTTCTTACTATAACTGCAGATTATAAGGAAAAAACATTGGTATAATGACAATAGAATATTATCAGAATGTTTTATAGTGTTGATTGACTATGGTATACTGTAATGAACTGACTTATGACAGATGAAATCACTAGTTTAAAACTTTCTCGAATGAAACAAATTTTCAACTATCGACACAAATGTTTTTTTGAAAGATCTATATATTCTGTTGTATTTGAAGAGATAATGATTTCATTTAATCTGGGAATGGAGCGAAGACTCTTTGATATGATGACCAATAACGTAGTTATTCCGACACGTTCCAACCCCACTAAATAGAAAGACAAATCCAAGTTTAGAAGAAGGAAATATATTTCACAAGCAGACAGAAGGACGAGCTACAATGACAAGCACAAATCAAGCATATATATACAGCATAAAAATATCCTTGAGAAACATTACAAAATGGCATACGGAAAGATACAACAAACCAATAGCGTTTAAGATTCTCCCAAATTGGAAATACGACATGAAGATAAAAATGAGCACTTATGGCTTGAAAACAAGAAATTTGAATTTTTAATATAAAATTACAAAAATAAAACATTTACCAAGTGAGTTCTAGGGATCTAACATTCCCAAAAATAAACGAATCAGAGACTATTATAAGACGACAAGAATCGATTTTAGCTTGTTCATTAAACTATTGAGATAATCTTTGAATAATGTTTCAAATGAAGATACTCATTAATTTCTTTATGAACAAGTAGACAGTTTCATACATCTATCATGACTTACAATGATCTGAATTATAAAACAAATGTAATATTACTAATTGTAGACTGTAAATGATAAATTGTACTGTTAATTATCGATTTATCATTTTTTTTGTCTACAAATGTAATATGATAGAGATATACTTGTTGTTGTCATTTGAATGATTTTATATTATTTCAAAGAGAAGAGATGACTTGAAATGATATTATAAGTTCAATCAATTTCTTTTTACAACTGTTAAACGCATGGCAACTAGTCTTTTTGATTTAAAAAAAAAGAATCATCGTTGACACTTTACTCTGAAAAAGAAATAGATTAACATAGTGTATTTTGTTTTTAGCTAATTAGGTAAATTAAATAAAATTATACATAACTCATAGAAATATATACATGATCTCCCTAGTACC